ATAAATGGATGTATTTAAAACTAAAAAGCTTCTTCTCAGCAAAGGAATTACAATCAATAACATAAAGAGAGAGCCTAGAGAATGGGTGAAAAATATTTGCCACCTGCACCTCAGGTAGAGYACTCCAGGATGCATAAAGAACTCAAAAAAATTTAACACCAAAAAACCCAATAACCCAATCAATAAGTGGGCTAAGAAACTGAACAGACACTTCACAAAAGAAGAAACACAATCAATAAACAAACATATGAAAAAACATTTATCAACTCTAGTGATTAGAGAAATGTACATCAAAACAACTCTAAGGTTTCTTCTCAGTCCAGTCGGAATATCAATTATTGAGAATACAAGCAATCTATATATTTAGTGATGTTTAATTCTTAATTCATTAGTATATCATGTTAGTGATGCAACTTATCTAAATTCTATCAATAATTATACTAATTGAAGTAGTAGTTCATTCTCTGAGTGGAGATTTACATAATAATTGAGAAAATATAAAAGGAAGTTGTAGGTACTCWTTGTAGATTTTGAATGTTTATTAAATGGGGTATTTTTTTATTATACCCCATATAATAAACTAAATAAATTTGTCTCTATAGATTTTAAACTGATGAACATTACAGAATATAGGTTTCGGATACAATGAAGTAAAATACATGTCAACAGGAGAAACTTTTGAGAAATCTGGAATTACATGCAAATTAATTTTTAAAAATTCATCTTACTTGATTGAATATGATTGGAGACCTTTTACCTTCTTATCCCTACACATTTCTATCTATATATTTTGGTATTTTATGTTATTATTTCTTTAAATTAACTTTCTAGCCTGCCGCAGTCTGGCTGGGCACAATTCAGGAGCCACTTGTCAAAAGAAACKAACTTTATTTTTARRACTACAMACGCCAARCRAAACAGCTCCTCAGGAAAAACCCTCAGAGCCCAACTGCCACCACCGGCTTCCACAAGCCTCCCCACACACCAACCACCACCTCCCACAATCCTCCTGCTCTTGAGGCCGATTGGCTAGGTCGCGTGGGCGGAGCCAAAGAAGTCCCCCAATGAGCAGTTCTGTAGTCTGAAGGGCAGGGAAACAGCCCAATGAACATSACYGCAGAGGAGCCAATCAGCTAGATGTTGCTGGGGCCACTGTGAGCCAATCATCAGCCGGCAGCTGGAAGTTTGCTGGCAGCTGAAAGTTTGCTGGGGCCCCTTTGGCTGTGGCTCTCAACACTAGCCATTTTTGTCTTTCTCTTCTCCTTCACAAATTAATTAATGTAAACCAAACATTTGCTCTTTGAGGGTATCCAAAAAATACTGTTAAGAAGTAATTTTAGGGAAACCCAAATAAAATAGGGGTATTCAAAGCAAGGACACATGTAAATTTTAACCTTTAATGGAAAAAAGTATAGCAAACAATAAATGCAACTTCTATCTATACAAAGGTAATAACTCACAGAAAAGTCCTATCTATTTCAATTTCTTTTATGTAGCAYATCATGTCCAATACTCATAAAAATTATGCTATATATTAAAGCAAAACAATGTTTAAAAGATTAAGCAAGGAACGGAAGAGGACTTGAATACAGTAGAAATTTTAGAATGATCAAGTCAGGAACTTAAAATAATTATGATGAATATTGTATTATAATGGGGAAAGTATAAAATATGGAGAATAAATGAACAATGTAAACCAAGATATGGATTCTTTAAGGAAGTATGAAAAACAAATGCTAGAAATCAAAAACTCTGTAATAGAAATGAAGAATGGGTTTCAGTTACATATCAGTAACTTGAATAGAATCAGTGAGCTTGAGGATATGTCAAATAATAGGCCAAAAGAAAAAAAATGTATATATCAGGGTATTAAAAAATTGTGGGACAAATACAAAAATTGTAACAGAAATTGGGAATACCAGACAAAGAAGCAAGAAAAGAACAGATGAAACATTGGAAGACAAATAATGACTGAGATTTCTCCAAAWTCAGTGACAGATTTCAAGCCACAGACCCTGAAAACTCAGAGCAGAACATGAACAATAATTTACAGTACTATTATGCCTCAGATATATTGTATTCAAACTGCAGAGAATCAAAGATAAAGAAAATATCTTCAAAGTATCCAGAAGAAATGCGCTAGTCAGTTTTGTATCACTGTGACCAAAATACCTGACAAGAACAACTCAGAGGGGGAAAAGTTTGTTTTGGGCTCATGGTTTCAGAGATTCTATCCATGGTTGGCTCAGTCCATTGCTGTGTCCTGTAATGAGGCAAAAATCATGGCAGAAGGGCAGAGCGGAGGAAAGCTGTTGAGGTCTTGGTAGCCAGGAAGCAGAGACAAATGAAGAGATAGAGAGAGAGAGGAGAATGGGGGAGAAGAGCAACCTTCTCAGTGTGTGTCCCTAGACATTACTTCCTCCAATTAGGTCCCATCTCCCTGTGGTCCATTTGGTTTTCTGTCTACTGGATGAGGTCAGAGCCTGCATGAGCCAATCACTGTGTAAAAGCCCCATCTCTACTCACATGAGACTCTGGGGGACATTCCAGATCAAAACCATCACAGGTATCTACCTCAGAGCTTGGCTGTGAAATCTAAAGTGTCTACATCTAAAGAATATAGGCTGGGGCAGRGTAAACATAAATCACTGTCAAATGTATACATTCTTGAATTCACTAAGTTGAAGGACTTTAAGAACTCTTTAAGAATCCCTACTAATCACAGAGCAAAGTTCAAAGACTTTGCTATGGACCGATGCTTGTATCCTCCCCAAATTCATCTGTTGAACTCCCAACCTCCACTGCAATGATATTAGGAGGTAGGGACTAGGGACTTCAGTATGTGAATATGACATTAGGATGATGTTCTTTTTTTAATATTTATTTTTCAGTTTTTGGTGGACACAACATCTTTTTTTTTTTTTTTTTTTTTTTGTGGTGCTGAGGATCGAACCCAGCGCCCCGCGCATTCCAGGCGAGCGCACTACCGCTTGAGCCACATCCCCAGCCCAGGATGGTGCTCTTGTAGATGAAATTAGTGCCTCCAAAAGGAGAAACACAACAGCTTTCCTTATCTCTCTGATCTCTGTGATGTGGGGATACAATGAGAAGATGGGCTCCTCCAACTAGGAAGACAGACTTCACCAGAACTACCATACATTCGAGATACATAGATACCCATGTTTATCACAGTATGGTTCACAAATAGCCAGCTGTGGTCCAAAAGGAGATGAATGGATAAAGAAAATGTAAGTAACACACGCACACTCACACACACACACACACACACACACACACAGGAGATTTATTCGATCATAAAGAAGAATGAAAGTATGCTATTTGCAGAAAAGTGGATGGAACTAAAAACCATAGTTTTCAAGTCACACGTGAAAAAGTACTATATGTTTTCCCTCATATGTGAAAACTAGAGAGAAGATACAGGGAAAGTGAATTCCATGAATGCAGRTGGGGGTGACTGTTATGGCAGAGGGAGAAGATTGTGAGTAGGGAGGAGAAGGTGGGGAGAGTACTGAGGTGAAATTGATCAAATTGTGTGTTTATGTACATGCAAATATGCCTAATGGAAMCCACCATACTCTATAATTAATATGCACCAATAAAAAAGAAGAAAGATCTGGCCAGGCTARCCCATGCACTTCTCACCTCCAGAACTGCAAGGAATAAAGTTCTTTTCCATAAGCCACCTAGACCCTGAGACTCTGTTACAGCAGCACAGACTCACTGAGAGAGTCCCAAAGGTGCCTAGGTGATCTCACTCTTCTCGTTCTCTCCCTCGGTTCTGGTCTGATTTTGAAGCTCTTTCTATTTCTTTGCTGCTCAGTGATGGTGATCTCCCTTGTCCTGTGGCTTTTCTTCATTTTCCCAGCTTGTCTGGAAAACCCTCTGTCCCTCATTCTCCTTCCAGTTGGTGTCTCCTGCTCTGGCCTCCAGTTAGAGATCCCCACCTCCAAAGCATCCTCTGCATCCCCAAGGTTGAGTAATTGGATCTCCTAGGAGGTCTCAGGGTGCTTTACCTTGCAGAGAAATAAATCTTCTGATACATTCGCTTGTCTCTATTTCCCAGGACTCCATAAACTCTGAGAGAAGAGATTTTTGCTATCATTTCTCACCGTTGTATCTGCAGCACATGGCAATTTTTCTCTAATAAAAATCTTGAATTAATAAAAAATGAACACCGTTTCACTTTCCTCCTCCATGTACAATGAGCATTGTTTTCATTTTGAAGATGAGAATCTTAGGTTCAGGAGAATAACAAGGTCATGCAATATCAGATGGTACTTAGGAAGGTGCTGTGTTAATTATTGCTGTGTGACCAACTTGTTGCTGTTTTGTGAAGATTAATGACGAATCTCCAGCAGCATAATTTCATTTTAATTATAAATTTAACTTATGTATAAAATAGTAACACATAGTTATGTAGGAAGACAAAGGTAACCCAGAAATGTGTGAAATTGCAAAAAAAGGGCTTTCCAAAAGGGTTCTAAACTGCATATAAATTAGTTTTGTGTATATTTTAGTCAGTTCTCCATTTCTTTAACAAAATACCTGAAATAATCAACTTAAAAGATGGAAAGGGCCAGGCACAGTGGCGCGCRCACCTGTAATCCCAGTGGCTCAGGAGGCTGAGGCAGGAGGATCACAAGTTCAAAGCCAGCCTCAGCAATAGCTAAGCAACTAAGTAAAACCCTGTGTCTAAAGAAAATACAAAATAGGGCTGGGGATGTGGCTCAGTGGTTGAGTGTCCCTGAGTTTAATCCCTGGTACCTCTCCAATCCCCCACACACAAAAAAATAAAGACGGAAAGGTCTATTTTTGGCTCATAGTTTCAGAAGTTTCAGTCCATGACCAGTTGATGAGGCAGCCAGTTCAGCAGATTTCACACAATAGATGCACGCACCCTTGAACAGACCCCAAATCATTGTGCATTTCCGACATAAAAAAGGAACTATGCATAGGGACTTAGATTAGATCCCCAACTCTGCAGAAGGGAAAAAAAAGGAACTAGTTGTGTTTCTCAGAAATTCACAGCACAGCCTTTAGGATTTAGAAAGCTACTAGAAGAAGAATGAAGATTGAAATTGAGTGAAGTGTGGATCGTGGGGAACTCATTCTATCTGCACCAAGAACCTGAGGTGCTCTCCCAGAGCCTGGGCCCCAGCCGACACAGCAGGCCCTGCAGGCTGGAAGAAGGTAGATGTCCTTCCTTGACTTTGGGGATGATGGATTTCAGTTATTGGTTCTAGAATTCCCGGTTGTAGGAGGATTAAAAAAAAAAAATAAGGTCACCTGTCATGGCATAAGCTGGTATTCTGGATTGGGGTGGGTTGGGTGCTCCCTGAAATGCACATTTAGAACATTTGAGAAGCAGTCCTTGCTGTAGAGGATGGGGGCAAGGAAAGGTCTAAGGTTTCCTCAAGGCTAAAGCTGAGTGCTGTGGGAGGTTGATTATTTTGTTCTCCAAATGCATGGCCATTGGAAAACAGTAAGTATTATGTTAAACTTTTGGCCAAATATCTTTCAATGTTCTCAATGTCTCTTCTTCTATGTCCTTTATTCTCTCTGAATTGTTGTTTTTATAATTGGACAGTTAAGGTCTGCTGCACGCAGAATCTGGGAGAGACAAGGGTTAAGTCAGAGTTCCCAGTCAATGCACTTCGCCCGGTCCTGTGACAGACTGTGGTCTGACCTGGTCCTCCAACAATCTGTGGCCGTATTCATGGGACACCCCACCCACCAGCTGAAGCTTCTGGGGAGGAGATGTGCTAAAGGAAGACACCTTGAAGATGATGAGCATTGTGGAGATCCGAAATAGACTCAGGGGAAAGTGGAACAAGGACACTCTCCTCTGATGAGGGATAAGACACTCAGAGAAACATTTTACCTAGAAACAAGTGGTCTTTGTGATCATATAACCAAATGACCTTAATTTGTGGGATTTCTCCCTTCTTCGTGGACTCTAGTGTATTACAAAACAGATTGCTGTCTCAGCAAATGTGTTTTGGATTTGATTTCTCCTTTATTCCTGTTTTCTATGTTTCTTAGAATGATATTTCTCTAGGGTAGTTCCAGCTATCAACTGATACATTCAGTTCCAGGTTTATAAATGATAGTTTATGATTTAGACCTCTGTGGCCAGGTGTCCAGTTTCTTTGAAACTCTAAAATTCCCCACAAATTCATCCTAATACAATTTTTATTAATAATCATTCCCCCTGATTTATAGGGACGTTAGTTGTTTCTCGGTTTTATTTTTTAAATAAATTTTTAATTCTGTCTCCAAATTATTTTTTGAAATTTTCTACAAGAAAAGAGAACAAGCATTGTTTTGTTTTGTTTTTTGGTTACATTCAATTCCTGTCCTTAACTCTTTTAAATTCATTCGTATTATGCATTCCTTGTTTATTACTCCTTTTGTTTTAATTTTTATAGTATTACTTTTTATTATTTATGATGTATCCTTTTGTACTTTCCTTTTATTGCTTTCTATAAATTTGAGAGTATGCTACTAAAACTAATGGTTTAAATTATTAAATTAAATTATTTTATTTTTTATAAATTGTATGTCTTTAAATTTTATAGTTTTATATTTCTCATTATCTGAGCTTCCTCCTACTGATTTCCATCAACTTATTTCTAGATAGTAATGGAGTTCTCTTGATCTGTCAATGATAAATTTAGGTCGATAATCCTTTCCATCTAAATCTGGATCAGTTACCTGAATATAGCATGTTTAGACATCACAACATCTTTTGCATGTTGGGCTACCAGTAAGAGAGAACACGCCTTCAAACTTTATTCTTTCATGGGGTCTGAGTGAAGCAGAAGTGATGTCAGAATCAACTGTGCCTTGAAGAACCTCAGTAAGCTTCCACTCAACATGTGAAGATATTGTGCACCTGAACACAGGGGTTTCTCTCTCTTTCTCTCTCTCCACYTCCCCTCCTTAATCGGTTGCTTCTTCCACTTTTCTGGCGCAAACAGCTATCATCTATAATGGGACCACAGTCCAGAGTTTGCAGATAGGAAGAAATCTGCCTCAGAGTGCCGTGTCCCCCTCTGGTCACAGAAATTTCATTTCTTATTCTAGCACTGTTTCTGTTGCCATGGCAACCGTGCAAGGAACAGACCAGACCACCCTGGAGGCTGGCTCTGCTGTGCATCTGGGACAGTCAAGGGCTCTACGCTCCCAGCTATGGAAAGAGATGCAAGAGAAGTTCTTGAGGGGAGAACCCAAAGTCCTTGGGGTAAGTCAGTGGTGGATCTGAGAGAAACTCACACCTATCAACCCAATACCACATACTCTGTTTCACTGCCTGGTAATACATCAACCAGACCTAGAATCATGGGTGCCTGATTTTGGTCTTCAGGCCTTACCATTTGAAAAATGTTAAAATGCTCCATCACATCATGATTTCAATACATTTGAGGTATGATGACGTCCAGATCCACTCCAGGTTGTGGGTCATCCAGGAGAGTTATACTTCACCCCGGTGRAGAGCAGCCAAAGAAGAGGCTCTGGATGGTAGCTGAGGTCCCTGTCATAGGCCTGTCTGGTAACAGATGGACCTTATTGTCCCTATATCTGTCTCTCTGCTTCCTTTTCTTATCCTGCTCCTCAGAAAATGAAAACAATCTATCCTCCAAGCCCTTGGATCTGGACTCTTAGGTGGATACACCTGAAAGAAATGGAGAGTTAAAGAACAGATTAGGGCAGATGAAAGGACATTGAGAATGGAGGTTATTTCCACTCCAAACGTCAAGCTACTGGGAAAAAAAAAAAGCCATTGTGAACAGTTTGGATTTTTTTTTTTTATTCCACCATTTTATTTTTTGTCTTGGAAAAATACAGGGTTTTTTTGGTGAAATATGTTATATGTTGACATACACGAGGGCTCATTTTTAACATATTAATATGTATTTTAAATGGACTTTTTAAGAGTGGTTTTTAAGTTCACAGCAAAATTTTCTAATATGTACCTACAGATCTATCCTGCTCCAACACATGCATAACTTCCCCTTAATTAACCTCCCTCACGAGTGGTGCATTTGTTACAATTGATGAATCTAGATGGACACGACATTGTTAGCAAAGTTTCCTAATGGACATGAGGTTTCATTCAGGGTTTTGTACATTTTGTGGCTTTGGGAAAACATACAGTAACATGCATGCACCACTAGCATGGAGACAAACTAGTCACACTTCTTTAAAATTCCTCTGTGCTCTACATATTCTTCTTTTCCTTCCCGCAACCCTTAGCAACCACTGATCTTTTACTGGCAGCATGATTTGCTTTTCCAGAGTTACATAGTTGGACTTAAAAAGCATGTTATTCTTTATGAGTTTTGGTACATTCTGTGTTCAATCAGGATTCCTTCTACCGGGGTCATCACAAGTGTGGGCGTGGGCTTGCTCCCAGTATTCCTTTAGTATCTTTGAATGCCCCATGGTATCTGTAGTGACGCCTCCCCTTCATTTCTGGTATCAGTACTTTGTGTCTTGGATCTTGTTTCCTCCTCAGTTTGCCTGGCTAAATGCTTATTAATTTCATTTAACTTTTTTAAAAACAGCTTTTGCTTTTGTTGATTTTATCTATTGATTTCCCATTTCCATTCCGCTGACCTCTGATCTAATTTTTTAATCATTTTTTTCTTCTGTTAACTTTGGAATTAATTGGCTCTCTTTTTTCTTGTTTCCTAAAGTGAAAGCTTAGATGACGGATTTTAAATCTCTTCTAATTTGTACACTCAGTGCTATGAATTTCCCTCAAAGCACCGGTTTTGCTCCATCCCCAAAATTTTGATAATTTTTTTTWAAAAAATATTTGGATCCGTTGTAATGCATGAGGGTGATTGTGCTCCCACTCCCCTGGTTTTAGAACCCTGTATTCATACATTTGTTCTCAGGTCCCAGACCCCCACTAAGTGTTGTAATCAGCAATCATTTTTTCTTCCCCTGTACATACTCTCCTTTCTTCAGGTTACTTCTCCTTGCTGGAATAATTGCTCCCAAATCCCTGGGTGACCCCTGTCTGAGTGTGTGGCAAAGGAGAGCAACCACTGTTGGTAGAAGTAGCATCATGGATATCAGAAAAGCAGCTCAGGGCAGTTTGGGCACACCCCTTCTAACCTTGAAATCACTGGGACAATGGTCAATATTCTGAGGGATAATTTGTGGGAAGTTAGCAGAGTTCTTTATGTGAAGAAAGGTGACAAGAGGTCATCTGGGTATTTGAAAAGGCAGAGAATGAGGGTGACTTAGTGGTTGGAAAGAGGATGTCATGGACACTCTTTTTATGGTGAATGATCAGTTTTTGCTTTTTTGTTTTTTTTTTAATAATTTCTAGGTTGTGCAGATTCTTATTGCCCTGATAAACCTCAGCTTGGGAATAATAATGATGAGTGTCCTGGTGCCATTTTATGAACCACACCCCATTTTATTTAACACAGCATACCCAGTTTGGGGGTCGGTGATGGTGAGTACTTTCTGTTATAATTAGAGATAATGTCAATGTTAAYATTGTTAATATCCCAAGTTCTGGAATCCTATCTTGACTCTATCCTGTATCTCTTTAATTTTTTTTTTTGGTGGGGGAATGCTGGGATTTAATACAGGGGTGCTTTACCACTGAGCTACATCCCCTACCCTTTTGATTGATTGATTGAAACAGGGTCTCACTAAGTTGCTTAGGGCCTCACTAAATTGCTGAGGCTGGACTTGAACTTGGGGTCCTCCTATCTCAGCTTCCTGAGACACTAAAATTATAGGTGTGCACCATCCAGACCAGCTATTTCTTAATTTTTTTAAAGTCCTGGGGATTGAACCTAGAGCTTTGTGCATGCTACGCAAGTGCTCTATCAGAAAACTACATTCCCTGACTTACATTTTTTAAGTTTGAGAAAGATATCTTAATGTTATTTTAGCTCAGTTTTTTCCTATTTAAAATGATAATAATAATATGCAACTCAGGAAGTTGACAGATTAAATGTTCTATAAACATGAATTAAAATATATGATAGCAGAAAGGAGCAAAATACCAAACTAGAATAAGGACCGTAGTGGCTAATCATTTCCAGGGTTAGTAAGGACTTCATCAAGGATTGTTGGCAGAATGTATCAAACTTTAAATTACTTGTTCTCAAATTAAAGAATAATGGACTTGCCATTATTTGCTTGAACTAATCAAGATTCACCTCCATGGCTGGGAAGGGTTCACATTTCCTTGAAATTCAAGAGAAACTGAGCAAATTGAGGGACGCCTCCTTTTGCAAGGAAGAAGAGACACTTGCCTGATATATAGGCCATGTAGTGTGTCTCACCCATCAATTATCAAATCTTAGGAAATTGTTCCCTTAGAAAATAGAACAGCTGTTATATAAACTTTTATTTTTTCTATGTTTAGTAATACCTACAAGTAAAACGGAATGAAACYAGAACTTTAAAAACTTTAAAAACTTTTCCCCCAGATAAAACACAACAGAGTCATTCCTAAGAATTGAAGGTTAAAAATAAGTATAAAATATCAAGTTTCATCTACTGAGGAGGAAAAAAAATGAAATTTATAAACTGGATCAATGTTAGAATAAGGGAGACCATTTGAATGTTGTGGGGTTTCCACTTAACCTGTAAATCTGAGCCTGAGAGAGTTCAAAGTTTTATTATATACCTGGTTTCTGTCCTTCCTCTTCAGTTTCCTGCAGTGTTGCAAAATTGGAAGAATTTTAAGAGCTGTTCTACTTCTGGGATGTTGCGCAACACTAAAGGTCAAATACTACTATTGTCAAGCCAAACTTTTTATTAAAATCTTACCATGATCTCRGCACTCTACTTAATATTTTATATGTGTAATTCTGCTTCAAACCATCACTACAAACTTTGGAGGGAGCATTGTCAGTAAGCTCTTGTACGGATAAAGAAACTGGAACCTGGAGAGGTTACGTAACTTGCCCAAGATTATCCCACTATTTGGTACAGGAATTGGGCTTCAGTAGCGTCAATATAATCCCATAATTGCACACATCCAACCTGTCGAGTGTTCTGACTCCTTTTTCCTTTCCTTACCAAGCCCGTTTTGGTAACAAATCTATGTAGTTTAGGCTGCCTATGAGTGGGGCAGGTTCCGGAGCTGCGTTGGTCCACTGAGGAACCACTAGAGTATTGTAGGTGTGCCCACTAGATGAGCTTTAGCTTAACTGGATGATTGTCTCTTGCTGCCACCTTCCATTACTTTTTCAATTTTATTTTCAGGCTCCACCTGTACAACACCTCCTTTTCCCTTACACTGTACAAGTACCAACACCAAGAAACAATTATAAATATTTATTATTTTGACCTCTTTAATTACCCATCAACCTACATGTCCTTGAGTAGAATTCCATAAGCATAAAAGTATCCCCTCACTGGTTTATCCAAGTGCTCTTTTGCATTCTTTTGGAATATTGTAGTTTTATTCATAGGCATTTTCACATTTTCTGTTAAGATTTTCCCCATGAGATACCTTTGAACACAGAGTGCACATGTATATACAGTTCATCCCTCAATAGCCGTAGCGGGAGGGATCCAGGACTCCTAGAGTTGCCAAAAGGAGAATCTGGGACTGCTCAAGTGTCYTAAATCATCCCTCAGCCCTCCTTATCTGTGGATGTAGGCCTGTGGATCTGGAGGGCCAACTGTGTATATTTTTGCTATGGTAAATGATATACTTTTATACAATCCTATCTTCAAAAACACCAACACAAATATTGATTATGTGTGTGTGTGTGAGTGTGTGTGTGTGTATGATGCTTTCCCTGTGCCATACTAAATGTTCTTACCCTTTATAGTACCTCTCAATTGTGAATCTTGGATATTTGCTGTTCAACGGATATTCATAAATAATACTAATTTAGATCTTTGTTCCAAATATTTTTCTTAYTTTTAATTATTTTAGTTAATGTATTCAGAGTGATATTGCATATTGCAAAATCTCATCGTGATTTTGACTTTAATGTGATGGTCCTCGRCTTTCCCTATTAAACATGAAAAAACTTTTAGACTTCCAAAAATGTTCTATCATGTTGTGTAAAATTGAATTCTTTATATCTTACAATTATTTATACTTATTATTTATATTTTACAAATAATTATATCTAAAATATAAATAATTATATTTGTTAACAACAATGTTATTTATATATAACAGTATTTATAATTTGATCTTTATTGACAGCAATGGTGAATCTTATTGGCTTATCAATATTGCAAATACAAAAAGCAATTACAAAGTTAATTTTCGTCTTAAATTCATTAATGCCATAAATTATGATAATATTTCAAAGTTAAAAATGCATTTGAAAAAAAAATCACATATATTCATGTTTTATTTCATGTAATGAAACAGCTAATTCTTTGTGCTACTTTTTGGCCCAAGGGTGATTAAGTTTCCATGAATTATTCTGTCTTGGTATTAGAAGTTTGTTGAGGAGGTTAATCAAACTATTTCACTAAGCCAATCAATTCTGGTATTAATATGAAATTTTGAGACATCTAAAATTGAACTTGAAAAGTATATACAGACACAAACCACTGAATAGTTGAAGTAAAAGACTCTGAGTTGACCTTGGCCATTTTAGCTAAATGGAAGATAATTTCCCAACTGATGAAACCAAATGAACTAATGTATTCTAGTCATCATTTAATAAGAAATTTGAATTTTTCTTTGCTATTAATTTACTCTTATTAATTTATTTCTTTGCTATTCATTTACAACTTTTAAAAGATATTTCAAATTAGAATAATTTTCTATTTCTTTTTGTTTTTAATATCTTATTCAATTTGGTACCATATTAGGGTTACTTCATATCTGGAATTTGGAATCTATTTTTCAATGCTTTCAAGCAATTTTTATGTGGGGGGTTGCAGAGTACTAGAGATTGAACCCAGGGGCACTTAACCACTGAGCCACATTCCCAGCACTTTCTTATTTTTTGTTTAGAGACAGGGTCTTGCTAAGTTGCTTAGGGCCTCGCTGCGTTGCTGAGGCTGACCTTGAACTTGCAAGAGCCACTGGGATTACAGGGATGTGCCACCAGGCCCAGCTTCGAGCGATTTTGATATCATTGCACTTAGATATTTTTTGAAAAGTTTGGTAAATCCCTGTAAGAATACATCTGGTAGAATTCCTCTGTTGTTTCTGGGGGGAAAAAAAACAGTTATTTGTAAACGTGTTTCTTCTGTAATAATTGACCTGCTTAACATATCTGTCTAATTTATGGATAAYGTTTAGTAATTCATGATTTTATATATTTGTTTAAATTTTTCTCCCCTTCTTCTTCATCATCTTCTTCTTTTCCCTCTTCCTCTTCTTCTTCCTAGTTTATTATTTCAGGATCTTTTTCAATTGCAGCTGCAATCAGAACTACCAAAGGTCTGGTGAGTAATAGTTCCTCTTTTTTTCCTGTTCAAAGAGGATGAAGTGATCATCCTCTTTGTCACATGTCAATGGCAGAAAACAGATTTTTAGGTGTAACTTCATTTTATTTTTAAACATGATTTTTAATTAAAATGTATACATTCAAGATACTCTTGTGTGTGTGTGTCTGTATATGTATACACACACACACACACACACACACACACAAATAACTGATTGCCACCACAAACAGGCTAATTAATACATTATTCTCCTCCAATAGTTACCTTTTTTCCTGAATGTGATGAGAAAACTTAAGATCTACTCTTTTGTCCAATTTCAAGTATCCATTACTATTGATTATAAATACCACCCTGTGTATTATCTCTCTAGAACATCATCATTCTTTGTGACTAAAATCTTATGCCCTTTGATCATCATCTACCATGTTTCCTCACCCTTTTGCCCCTACTAACCACCATTCTACTCTCTGTGTCTATGAATGCAATGTTTTTGTGTTCCACATTCAAGTGTTTGAATCATTGGACCCAGGATTATTCCTGTTATTGAAAATGGCAGGATATCCTACACCTAAAAGTCTGAATAATACTCCATCGTACTTATACATACATGTTGTGATAGGTATCCACAGGTGGTGTCGATATTTAGAGATGAGTATCACAATTTCTTTTTCCTTCATCCACCAACTGACACTTCAGTGGTTTCTGTGGCTTGGCTATTCTGAATGACGCTGAGATAAGCACAGAAGTGCAGCTTTCTATGAAATCCTGTTTCCATTTCCTTTGAGTATATGTCCAGAGAAGTGATTTCTGGGTCATGTGATGGTTCTATTTTTAGTTTTTTTAGGAACTTCATAGTGTTTTCCATTATGGCTGTATCCATACATTCAGTGAAGAAGGATTTATTTTCTCTATATCCTCATGGTTACGTGCTATCTTTTGTCTTTTTAATGATCACCATCCCCAAAGGTAGGAGAGGATACATAATTGTGGCTTTGATTTGAATTTTACTCATAATTAGTGATATTAAGCACCAGGTCTTATATTTGTTGGCCATTTGTGCATCTTCTTTGGAAAGAGGTCTATTTTAAATTTACATTTTTATTTGTCTTTGGCATTGATTTGTAGGAATTCCTTATATATTTTGAAAATGTATATATCTTGTAAGTTATACAGTTTGCACATAGTATTTACATTAGAGACCCAAACAGGGCAATTAGGTAAGAAATAGCAAAAAAGATGAACAGAAAGGAAAGAGATGAAACTATAATTACTTATGGGTGACCCTATTATGGTCATAGTTTATCTAAATGAACCTATAGAAAAATAATGAGGATTTAAACTCAATGGCACTATTCCCCATGTATATGGCCAAAATACAAAAGTCAAATGTWTGTGTGTGTATAACACATGTGCATGCATATACACACACATACACATACACATTCAAACACAAGCTAATGAACAGCTGAATTTTTTAATGTTAAAATTATAATAACAAAATGTAACCAAGCAATCATATTCAATATGTGTAAAAAGACGTTTATAATGTCTATGTAGGAGCTATATAAAACAAATGAAGGGATAAACTATGAAGAGGTAAAGGAAACTCAATGTTGCAATGATGTCCTTTTTTCCAAATTAATTTCTGGATCCAAAACGACCACCATTATGTGTAGGTAGCTTGTTTTATGGCAACTAGTTAGTCGAGTCTATTTTATATAAAAATCCAAAGGGGGACATATATTCTTATATAGAATTAAGGCCTGAAACCATAAAACTCCTTAAAAAAATAGGGACAAAACCCCTGTAAATTGGTTTAACTATGATTTTGTGGCTGTAAAACCAGAAGCATGGGCATAAAGGCAAAAATAAACAAGTGGAATAACATCAAACTAAAAAGTTCCTGCTTAGCAAAGGGAACAATTAGCAAAATGAGCAGGCAGCCGACGGATTCAGAGATATTTGCAAATCAGACTTTGTTTAAAAACTTCAGGAGAAATAATGAGTTGGAGTTGTCTTTCAAAAGCTATAGTCGAATAATTGGCTGATAATGGAATTACCGACATAAGACCAACTAGTTTGGCAAGGTGAGGGCTCTTCATGAAGATACAGAGGAACCCTGAGAAGGAATGTCAAGTGGGTTCAAATCTTGAAGCTTGAGACCCAGCCCCTGACAACAGTAGTACCAAGTATTGATGTGGCCTAATACTTATTGACTTATTGATGAGTACATTTCAACTACATCCAGAAAATGTTTTGAGTTTGCAAAAAAAAAAAAGAAACTCAGAATAAGATTTATTATATAAGAATCATTTAACACATAATGTTCATGCCAATATGTCTTTCTCAAAGCAAAAAAGAAAGAAAGAAAGAAAGAAGCCTAGATCTCAACAAATGTTTTCCTTGGCTAACGGCCATATTTGAATTATTATTGCTCAACAGATAAATAAACTCTAGAGCATGATCAGTATGATCTCTCCAAACCTGACCTTGGTCTATCTCCCTCATGTTTACTGACTTAAACTATTGAAATGTGTCTGGTGCTGTAACCCAGTAAATCTTTCACACTTTCCTAAGCAATTTTAGTTCTTATAAAAAGTCTCTGTTCTTCCACTGTGAGGAGAAAATATGGAAAAAGGAATACAGTGAGAGAATATACAAAAGGCATAGAGGCCTGACACACTGGCAGAATATAGAAAAAGATCGGTCAGGTACCTGTGGCAGACACCTGAATGCAAGACATGGATTTCTAGCTAAAATATAAAGGTCTTTGAAATCTCTATTAATTCTGTTCAGAGTTTATGTGCACATGGGAGTCACTGGAAATTTTATCCTGAAAATAACTGGATGATATTAGTATTTTGACAAGAGAATAAACTACTATAAAGAAAAAAAAACATTGAAATCATGGCTACTATTTTATATATAAAATATATATAATTTTATGCAGAAATACAATCTCTACTATAATGACTACTGAAATGATCAAGATAGGATGGTGCTGGGAAAGAGGTGGAGGGCTCGAAGTGATTGATGGAGATACAGCCGATGACATTATTGGGTAGCTTAACTGATTTTTATTCCTATTGCAGGTCCAAGCCAGTCTAGGATTGAACATAGCCAGCTCTGTGCTGGCTGCGTCGGGGATCATGCTCAGTATATCCAGCTTGAGCATCTTGTCATTTGAATACCATCAGTGTATCCATGATATGGTGGTAGAGGACTGTTCCCTGATCATGTCCATCTTAACTGTGAGTGCTTCCTTTTGTCATGGGACACTATGGTTCAAGCATATGGTTGAACCATATGGTTCGAGAGGTGGGAGGTTGCTGGCTCCAAAAAAAGCAATAAACTTTTTTCACTTGTTGAAGAGTCCGTATGGAATTTGTTTMTTTCCCTTCCTTAACTTCTAGAGACAACCAAGGTCCCTTGCCTTGTCATCCTCTCTTTTAATTTGTTCTTTTTAGTTATAGATGACAGTAGARTATATTTTGAGATACTTATACAAACATGAAATATATCTTATTCTAATTAGGATTCCCAGTCTTGTGTAGGTATATGACGTGAAGATTCACTGTGGTATATTCATAGATGTACATAGGAAAGTTATGTTAGATTCATTCCACTTTCTTTCCTATTTCTACCCTCCATTCCTTCCCTCCCCTTTGTTTAATCCACTGAACTTCTGTTCTTCCTGTGGCCACCCCTTGTTGTGTGATAGCATCTGCATATCAGAGAGAACATTTGACCTTTGGTTTGGGGAGATTGGCTTATTTCACTTAGAATGACAGTCTCCAGTTCCATTCATTTACCAGTCAGAATTTCACTTTTCTTTATGAATGAGTAATGGTCCATTGTGTATACGTATCGCATTTTCTTTATCCATTCATCTGTTGAAGGGCACCTAGGTTGGTTCCATTCCTTAGCTATTGTGAATAAACATTGATGTGGCTACATCATTAGAGTATTCTGATTTTAACACCTTTGGGTATATGCTAAGGAGTGGGATAACTGGGTCAGATGGTGGTTCTATTCCAAGCTTTCTGAAAAATCTCCATACTGCTTTCCAGAATGGTTGCACCAATTTCCAGTCCCACAAGGTACCTTTTCCCGTACATCCTCGCCAACATTTATTATTACTTGTATTAATAATTGCCGTTCTGACTAGAATAAAATGAAATCTCAGTGTAGTTTTAATTTGCATATCTCTAATTGCTAGAGATGTTGAACATTTAAAAAATATGTTTGCTGATGATTTGTATTTCTTTTGCAGTTTCTTTGTCCATTTACTGACTGAGTTATTTGGTTTTTCCGAGTTCTTTATATATCCCAGAGAGTAATGCAGTATCTTAGGTGCAGGAGGCAAGATTTTATCCTATTCTGCAGGCTCTCTCTTCACGCTCTTGATTATTTCCTTCATTGTAAAGAAGCTTTTGAGTTTGAGACCATCCCATTTATTGATTCTTGACTTTACTTCTTGAGCTTTAGGAGTCTTGTTGAGGAAGTCGGTTCCTAAGCCAACACGGTGGAGAGTTGGGCCTACTTTTTCTTCTAGTAGGTGGAGGGTTTCTGGTCTAATGTTTAAGTCTTTGATTCATTTGGGATTAAGTTTTGTGCAGACTGAGAGATAGGGGTTCAGTTTCATTCTACTACATATGGATTTTCAGTTTTTCCAGTACCATTTGTTGAAGAGGACATCTTTTCTCCAATGTATGTGTGTGGCACCTTTGTCTAGTATGAACGAGATAACTATGTTCATGTGGGTTTGTCTCAGAGTCTTCTATTCTGTCCCATTGGTCTTCATGTCTGTTTTTGTGCCGATACCATGCTGTTTTTGTTACTGTAGCTCTGTAGTATAATTTAAGGTCTGATATTGTTATGCCTCTTGCTTCACTTATCTCACTAATGATTGCTTTGGCTGTTATGAGCCTCTTATTTTTCCAAATGATTTTCATGACTGCTTTTCCTATTTTTTATGAAGAATGGCCTTGGAATTTAACTAGSAACTGCATTCAATCTGTAAAGTGCTTTTGGAAGTCTGGCCATTTTGACAATGTTAATCTGCCTATCCAAGAACATGGGAGATCTTTCCACCCCTAAGGTCTTCTTCAATTTCTTTCTTTAGGGCTCTGTAGTTTTCATTGTAGAGGTCTTTCACCTCTTTTGTTAGATTGCTTCTATCTTCCAGTGGTGCCGTATTTTAAAGTGACTTTGACTTTTGTGTCTTCTGCCTCCTGCTTCCACTTAGCAGGATGGGTTTACTTGAACAGTGCAGGATTATTCTCCCATTTCAGCTAATGAACAACTTTTCCTCCATCTGAAAGCTTAATTCYCTTTGCCATTTCATCTAACACATCTACAAGTTCTAAGAATGRGGATGTGGACTGCTTGGGTGAATTTTTATTCTGCTTAGAATATTTAAGATGTGAGATTTGATTACTGCATTAACTATATGGAGTTACTTGTGTTTGAAAAATCTTYACAATTCCCTGCCACCAACTTTTTCAAAGCTCTTTCATATTCTGTGTCCACAATAGCATTGAGATGTAGAGAACGGGGGGGGGGGGGGGGGGGGGGGGGGGGGGGGGGGGGGGGGGGGGGGGGGGGGGGGGTGGGGGGGGGTTTTTCAAAGCTGTTTGGTGTTGTGTGTCCACAATAGCATTGAGATGTAGAGGGGGGGGGGGGGGGGGGGGATGATTATTTCATCAGCCAAAAAAAGTGAGAGAATAGGTGACATACAGTGTTCCAAGAATTGGCCAATGGTTGTTCATAATTAGGAGCCAGAATTCTATACTCCTGGCCCATACTTTTTCTCTTTGGGCATTCTATTAATTTTAAATGTAGGAACATATTGTCTGGATTCCTCATGTTTCTTTGGTATGAATTTATTTTTAGGGTGTAGATGCTGTGATGTTCACTTTTAGTGTGCTGGAATTCTGCATTGCTGTGTTCGTCGCTGCCTTTGGATGCAAAGTGACCTGCTGCAACCCTGGTGGGGTGAGTATATTGGCCGTCATTGAAGACATCTCTACCAGTTTTCTATTGCTGTGTGGTCGACTTCATAGACCTGGAGGCTTAGGACAGCACAGGCTGATTATCTCAGTTTCAAGGATCAAGAGTCTAAACACAGATTAGCTGCATTCACAGAGCTGGTGGAGCCCATGATCTCATTTGAAGTTTCTAGCCCTCTTCCATGCTCATGTGGCATATTCCATTCTTGGACTCACAAGACATACTTCTCTGAGRACAGTAGGACAGCATATGTCTCAAGTTCTTTCAGTCTTTTTATTTATTTGTGTGTTTGTGGTGCTGGGGATTGAACCCAGGGCCTTGTGCATGCGAGGCAAGCACCCTACCAAGTGAGCTATACCCCCAGCTCTCTTTCAGTCTTTTTTAAAGGGCTCACATGATTAGGTCAGGTTCATCCAGAATAATGATATACTCAAAGCCAAAGTGATCAGTAAACTACTCACAGGAGAGATATCCCATCATATTGACATCGTATTACAAGAATATGAGTCACTGAGTGTGATCTTAGAATTCCGCCTGTCACCGTGGCTGAAGAAAGGCTAGGTTTCCCCATCCTTACCTTCTTAAAAGGCATCTTTTAAAATCCAAAGAAGGGAAACACTTTACAGTGACGAGATCCCCAGAGAATGCCGGACTTTACTCTGTTATTCTACTACAAAACCTCCCCTGGCCTAATGAAGAAAAATGAGGCATCCAACTTCTCCACCAGTTGTGCACATTTGGCCATTGTGTTACCTGAGGCCTGCAGCAGACTCGCCAGGTGGCTAAGTGGAAAGAAAGTCATCCGAAGAGAGGAAAGTGGGAAATGGACAGAGAAGAAACCAAGAAAGAAATTATAGGAATAACAGGGCAGGAGGAGCCTCCAAACATTGAGGGTTCCAGAGAAGTGGCTAGTAAAACCTCAATAGCTGCTCATTAGCTTCATTACCCAAAGGCCCTTGGGCAGCAAAACTCACAGACAAATATAGAACAACAGTTTAATGAGACTGCTCTTGTGGTTCTCATTTCTGTTTGCCTCTTTGCCTTCTTTGGAGGCTCCCAGGCCACACCACACAACTAACTCCCCCACAGAAGAGACAGGAGCTAAATCACCTGAARTCTCATAGTGGGTTTTTCATTATTAAGGCCCCAAATGTGTGAATTTCTCAGAAATTAACAAAGATTTTGTAATTTCATGGAATGAGGCATTTTATTCTCATTGAGAGAAGCACTTGGGCATAGAGGCAGATTTTAGGAACTTTAAAATCTCAGCATGTAAGTGTGATCCCTTCTGCTCTGGAGTCGTTGGAGAGCCAGTAGCTGCTGCTCCCTCTACTCTCCTGAGTGAATCCAGGAGAGCAGTGGCTTCAAGTCATTGGATGTTTAGTCTCCATGTCTTCCTGCTTCTGCCACTGTCCCCCAAAGCTTCATGTCCTGCTGAGTTTGTGGAAGAATATTCCGTAGTTTCCTGATAATTCCTGCCACCCTGGGCCAGTGTGGGTTCGGTGGGGCTTTATTGTGGCAGCAGATCCTGATTTGGGTGTGCACTGTCATCAGCACGAGTAACCTGGCTTGGAGGAGCAGCCCGGCATTTCCATAGCACCTGGGCTAGGGGTGACTCCTCAGGGACCATCATCCACGCATAAGATGGATCCACTCTAAGGCTCAGCCCCAGCCACCACATCTCAGGCCCAGAGCATCCCTGGGTGAGGCTCCTGGATCCAGCCTGGTCTGAGGAACGCCTGAGAGCCCACCAGGCTGCTCTGGATGGAATTCAGAGAGGGTGGCGTGGATGCTGCAGATGACATAAGTGGGTGGGGAAGGGAGGTGGTTTGATCTCTCACCTGTGGCATTCTCATGTGTTTCACAGGTCGTGTTGATTCTGCCACCAAACCCTCCGGTGACAGAAAGAGCATCTGCTGCACCTTTTTAAGGAAGTTTGATGTCACATCAAGAGAAAAATGTTCCAGAAAAATCTATTCTGAATTTTAAGCAAGAACCCCATTTGGGAAAGTGCCAGAATCCAACTCTAACCTGTCTCTCTATCTCTGTCTTTCTGTCTATAAAAGCTCAGGATCATGTTCCCATTCCCCCTCAGGAACTCAGCGATGCATTCCAATGGAATTTTAGCAGAATATTGGAAGCTGAGTAAATAAATCATGCCTTTGGTGGTCAACAGGACTCGAGTGTCATTCATCCATCTTCAGGGCAGTACAATGGCAAAGAAGCCTTACCTGTGAGGGGCTGGAGGACATTACTGAAGTGGGCACCATGAGTCCTTGATGCAGACCACATATTCCTGCTTCCCTGTCCAGTGCTATTCCTCCCATTTGCTTGTTTTCATTTTTTGTTTGTTAAATCCACCTTAAGGGTCACAACTATTTTTTTTTTTCTTCTGGAAGTTGAAATACATGAATATCTCCCTTCTTTGCCTTCTGCTTCTTCACCTGTGCCATGCAAAATACCATGGTATATAGGACAGTGAGTCCTTGTATGGGCAAAAGCCACTGATAGACATACACTTGGGTGAGATTCAACGTTTACAATCTCACTCTTTCTCTCTTCCCCACCTCAATAGGTTTATATCGTAATCAAGTTTATATCCAGTTCTCCCTCATAGACACTTTATAAATATGTGTTGATTCAAAGGATGAATTGACATATGTAAGTGTGTGTATATAGATATGCATATTTGTGTGTGTGTGTGTGTGTGTGTGTGTGTGTGTACCTATTGTCCACTTTATCCACCTTTGTATGTGGACAATAATTAGAAAAAGTCACTTAAGAACTAAGGGCTTTCCATTTTCCTGGTTGAAGATTAGATGGTAATCTGGAAGTTCCATGGGGTGAATCTGAAAACTGGTGCTTTTATGTTAACCCAGGTGTTCAACATCTCTTACTGAACATCTGTGAGAATACAGGTGACCTGCTTTATCACCGGCAGATGTGTATGTCTCCAAGTGAACTARATTTAAAATGAAATAAAATAAGCAGAATCAGCAAACCATGGAGCTGAGATGGGTCCTTGATTCCATGTTGAGAAGCTGGATCTTAAAACCTGTTTCAGTTGTTAGTAAACGATTTTATGGATGAAGTCATAATAATGGAGTGTTTTCCTTTCTACATTAAAGTATGTTTATTGTCATTTTTCTTCTTTTGTGAGTTAAYGGTTCATATTCTTAGCTTATTTATCTTCTTACTTATTATATATTGATATTTTCATATGAGTGATACTAACTCATCATCTGTGTCCTGTGATGCAATTATAGTTTTTTTTTTTCAGCGAGCTATTTTTCTTTCACATTTACTTTTGGTGCCTCTTGTTATAAAAATATGTTTGYAATGTAAAGAGTTTTATCATTTCTTTTACAAGAATATTTATTTATTATCCCATAATATTTATTCATTAATGGTTTCAATTGCTTAGAAAATTTTTTCTCATCCCAAATTTATTGCGTCTCTTTTTATATTTCCTCTAATTTATATATAGTTTTGACCCTGAYATTTATTTTTATTAGTATTGTTTAATTTTATAAATTATCTAGTATGGTGGCCATTCAGGAGACTGAGGCAGAAGGTTTACAAATTCAAGGCCAGCCTCAGCATATAGACCCTGAGCATATAGAGAGACCCTGTCTCAAAATAAAAACAAAAAGAACTGGGGATGTAGCTMAGTGGTAGAACTCCCCGGAACCCCCGAAACATAAATTCAATGTGCTTTTCACAGTGCTAGGCCATTATGCCAATAGTACTGATGACATAATTAATATTAAGTAAAAATATTTTACTATGTAGTAAAGACATGCTTATCTATTTTTGTAACTAATTACCATCTTTTGATTACTTTGTATTCATTATATCCTTCCCTCACTTTTCTTTTTCTTCAAAACTTCATTAATATTCTGAAGCTTCTGTCACCAGAATGTTTTTCTACTTGTTCTGAGAATCATGAACCTGAATTTGAGAGATAATTTAAACCCCTCTTGAAGAAGTCAACTACACCCCTAGCCACAAMACATTTTATTTACAAAATGTGTATACTGAATACTATACATGTGGGCCCTGTAACCATGGAAACGACTCCAAATCCCTCCTGGGGGTTTGTGCCAAGTCCCAGTTCAGGCAGATTCGAGAAAGCAAAGCTGTGCCCAGCCACCATATCCCCAAAATAAGACCTGTCAGTGCCTGCGGGTTGGTGGGGGGGGGGGGCTCAGCCCACAAAGAGCTGAGGGTCTAAAGGGACCAAGATGATGGGGCAGTTGTGGGGGGAGAGGTGAAGACCCAACTTAGCTTCTCCAAAGGTGGAGAAGATTCTGCCCCAGCACAAGGAGTCCACTTTTTTCCTGGATTTAGACAATGGAAGAATCACACTAACCCAACTTAAGTGATGTTCTTGGGTAGCRGTGTGACAGGAAACATCAATTGTATGGATGACATGCTGCCAATCAAATCTAATCCCACTGTTGCTTCACCAACAAGGAAATCATTTCCTTTTCCTGTTGGGCTTGGAGCGGTGAGGATGTGAATCTGCTGTTCTCAGCAGACACTGTGTTTCTCTAAGAATCCTGTGACAGAACAATCCCTACAGAGGGGAGCAGAACTGAGAGGTGAAAGATTAAACCCTGACAGTAGTGTTGGAGTCGCTGAGCCAAGGTATAACTGGAAATAGGACAAATTTCATGTTTTAAATATCTGAAGAAATGGAAAATAGAACCAATAAGAGAGTATACTACCCGGGCAAAACCCTTAAATGGATTTTTCTGTAATTTCGGAAAAAAAGAAGAAAAATAATGTAAACCTCATGCTAAACCTTCTAAGTTCTTCATTACCTGATTCTTTTCTCCACCTTGGCTTTTGAAAAGCATCCTACACTTGTATTTCCTGATTTGCCTCTTTGAGTTTAAAGAACTAGAGAATGCCTTCTTTTGCKGAGAACTATGGTATGCCCAGATATTTTAAAAGAGTAGTTCATTTTTAGTTGTAAAAAAGTTCATATACACATTCTGGGCTATTCAGATCCGATATTAAGATCCTAAATTTTAGAGAAGACTCCCTGCATTCATTTCACATCATGTCATTTCAAACTTACTCTTCACCTGGTTGTTCTAGGTCTTATCTAAAAGTGATTAGAATGTATAGCAATGGGGGAGGGGCTGGAGTTGTAGCTCAGTGGTAGAGAGCTTGCCTGGCATGTGTGAGGCCCTGGGTTTGATACCCAGCACTGCATATAAARAAATAAATAAAAGATCCATTGACAGCTAAAAAAAATTTTTTTTTAAAAAAAGAATAGCAATAGGAAAATATCCAGGAGTCTTTGCCTATTKTTTTTTACATTTCTAATAAATATAATTGTTTTTCAAATACCTAATTACATGCTTCAAAACTTACGAAATGGGTGATCCTGGACAACTTATTGTGATGCTTCAGCTTCTTCATGTATAAAAATTCCAGTGACTTTCATATTAGGTTTTTGTGAACACTACCATTATTAAATTGGTATGTGACTCTGATAGGTTGTATATAAAGATTCTTTAAAACTTAACATGAAAACAAGTAGCAACATAAAAATGAGTGAAACTAACTTTGACTAGGATTAAGTCTTCATTTGAGCATATTAGCAGTTACCTTTATTTTTATTTATTTTATTTTTTCACAGATTCACGGGGTACCCCATAAGATTTCAACACAATTATATATTTTATAATGATCAAATCTGGGTTAAATATGTATCTTTTCCAACATTTATTATTTCTTTATAGTGAAAATGTGCAAAATCTTCCTTTTTTTGAAATGCACAGTACTTTATTATATGTGTAGTCTCCATACTGTATGGTAGAACACCTTTCTGATTCTGTACACTGATCTTATAGATTTGCCATACTCAGTGGAAAGGGTATGAAGAGAGATGAAGAGACATATATATGTTCATATCCTTAATAAGAACACCAATTAAACCTGAAGGGAAGAAATAAAGAGTGGAAGTCCACTGCTTTGGTTGTAGGACCAACTCAGGCATTTTATTTTAGGACTTGAATAATAATTTTCTGTTCCTTTATTTTGTATCTTGCTATTAATTTTTATCACTGAAATATAGCTTTGGGGTAGGTCTTGAAATTGGGTAGCATATATCTTACACGTTTTCCTACAGTTAACAACATCGATTAGTCCATTCCAGGTCTTCAATTATCCCAGGTAAAATTTAAAATAAGCTTATCAACTATTTAAAAGGGCTTTCTGGGGCATCATTAGTATTAYGTTGAATCTACAAGTCACTTGTAGAAGGATTGCCAGTTGAGRGCAATATCATATATTTTCCAATGCCTTAATGCCATATGCCTCTTCATTTATGTAGGTCTTCATTAATATCTTTCAGCAATAATTTGTAATTTGTRTTTTAGTGCCTTGCACATATTTTATTAAGTTTGTCTATATGTATATTATTGGGTATTTTGATGCTCTGGAAATAACATTTTATTTATATTATGTGTGTATACATATACACATATAAAATAATGGTATTACATATATTTATATGTGTACATAAATATGATCTTGAAATTATTTCTAGTTTTCAGAAATGCAATTAACCTTAATATTTTGAGCTTCTATAATGCACCTTGTTAGGTTAATTCATCATGGTTTTCTTCATTACTTAGTGTGTACATAGGTTTTCATCTGATACCATCTTCCTTCAGCCTAAAGAGTTTCCTCTAATGTATTTTCTCATATTTTTTTCTCTCATTTTTGTTGTCTGAATACACATTTATTTTAACTGGATTGTTTTGACTGCTTTATTTTTATAATTTTATTGGTGCATTCTAATTCTGCATACTAGTGAGATATGACCTTTTCCAGTGGATATTTTCACAGGCTGGATCCTAGGTCTAGAGTTTCTGTCTTTGCTTTGTCCTTTTGCCTGACATGATGTTTTATGGGAAGTCTACAAATATTCTTGACTTTGTTTTTCCAYGGATCTTTTCTCTGCTTTTAACATTCTCTCTTGGTCACTTATTTTTAGCAACTTAATGATGATAGGCCATGGTGTTTTATGTTTATTGATTCCACTTGAGGTCAGCTGAGCTGGTTTGATTTGTGGATTTATATATTTTATCAAATTGGTAAATACCAATCCTTTCTTTCAATAATCTTCYGCTCTGC